GTCAACGATTCCTGAGATCGAGGATTTAAAGCCGGAATAAAGAGAATGTTTGATGAATTTCATCAAGGAGAAAGACGTTATTGTCCTTCTTCCTACTGGATTTGGGAAAAGCTTAATATACCAGTTAACCCCGTTAGTGGAGCATCACATATGTCACAACCAAATAGCAGCGATTGGTTTAAAGTTCCCGTCTACTGTCGAGCGAACAAATCCTAATGCTGTGAGGTCAGAGGTCAGTTTCCACAAAGTGAAGCCTGCTGATGAATCAGACTAATAATATTCCACAGGATGGCATAAAATACATCTGTCTGCATAGAGAATATTCAGTCATGCAAAAGACTTTCCAGCTCCAGAAATCACTATGACTTTGTATTATCACATTTGTCCTTGTGGTTTTAGAGTGAAGTTCAGAGCTGTGGTGACTGCTGTTAACTCAGTAACAGGACAATAGCGTTCTCTAGAAATCCCTCTTGATTCACTGTGTTTAGTGCACAGGCTGTAGTTTAGTGCACAGGCTGTGGTTTAGTGCACAGGCTGTGGTTTAGTTCAGTGAAGTGGTGTTTTTTTGCAGAGGAAAACTAAAAATATCAGAGAGGAAGTCCCGGAGCCTTGAGCAGCGTCAGGCCGTGTGCTGCTGCAGACTGGAGCAGGTCTGGACTCGTCTGCGGTGGAGGTCTATAGGAGACACACACAGGACTCTAACCAAAGGTATGAACAGATAATGGCTCTAGAAGCACACATTTACCACAAACACTGTAAACACTGCCTGGATCAAACTGGGAAGATCCAAATATACCACAGAAGACAATTCTTTAAAGGTCCTATGTTACCTTGGACTCTTGTGAGCTTTAAGTCACATTAGAATGTTGTTACCTCCTCAAAAACAGACTCACAATAGTTTTGTTTCATTCACACCTTATTATTAGTCTGACTACATCTCCAAAGCTCAGAATGCTCTGTTCCACCTTGTGATGTCATGAAGCGGTATGTTCAAGTTCACAGCTTTTACTTTTTCTTCAGTAGATTGGTAATTCTGCTGAAAACATCCAAATGATTCTAGTGAAGGTGTATGGAGTTTACAAACACATTTCCTGTATTACCACATGACATCACAAGGTGGAACAGAGTGTTTTCTGTTTGAGTTTGTGCGTTAAACATGTGTAAATGAAACAAACACAATGAATATGGGCACTTTAAAGTTCAAACATAACACTTTTAATCTAATCCAGAGATTTATTTATTCATAATACAGATGAAACTCAAATCCAAGTGAGCTTTCTTTTTATTTTCTGAGTTAATTCTCGTCTTAAAAGATGAGGAACAGCTCGTAAACTCGCAGTCTGTACAGTAAAGTCGCATGTGTTGGTGGTTTTGAGGTTGCGTTAGTATCAGCAGGGTGCGTTCACATTTTTAAAGTGTGTCAGACTCTGGATTTAACTGGCGGCTGTCGGAGAAATGCCGCTCCAGGCAGCTGCTGGTACTGCTGGTGCTGTGTGTGCCGTGTGTGCAGTGTGTGTAGTGTGTGTTGCTGTAGTGCTGTTCCGGTGGTGATCCTCAGATGTTTCATAGTGAACACATGACGATGAGGTTTGGCACCGAGCGCAGGGAGAGACTGAGCTCATATCTGAGAGGTCACTCATGTTTAAACTCTGTTACCTCTGCTATTGTTACTGACACAATGACACACTCAAGTTTGGACGCACAAAGAAACAAAGGCTATTTTTAAGTATTTTTAGAGTATGTCTTGTGTGTGTATCTAAAATGTAGAAAAGTAGAAAAAATAAAACACTGAATGAGAGGATGTGTCCAAACTTTTGACTGGTACTGATATTACTACTAGTTATAGTTATATGGATTCTATTATATTTTCATTTCATATATTTTTTTATTTGTTTACATGTACACAGATATAGATATTCAGACAACATTTGTACACACCTTTTTCATTTTTATACAGAGAAAACATAACTTATAAAACTAAATCACTAACTAATAAAAACAGTTAATAACAAAAGAAAAGGAGGGATGGGGTTGGCTTAGATTGTTTCAAATAAGTCAATAAATGGTTGCCACTTTCCTAAAAAAATAGTTTATGTTACCTTTCTTGGAGTACCTAATCTTCTCCGTTTTCTAAAAGGACATAACTTCATGAATCCGTTGAGGCTGGAGGAGCATTTGTTGATTTCCAGTGTAAGAGGAGATGGCGTCTTGGAACAAGAGAAATACACACCAAAACCTGTAGCTGTAAAGATGAATAGCAAGAGAAGTCCTCCGGGAGACCAAAGAGAGCCACATACAAAGACACATCAAGTGTTTTTGACAATGATCTCTATTATTACACTATTATTACAACTATAATGACTGCACAGCAAAAAGTGGAGTGTTAAAATTGACTCTCACAGAATCAGTTTGAACATTTTCTCAGGGTTTATATGAGTCCAATCTGTTCTAGAATTAATTTAACAATTTTTGAAATGTAAATTAAGTAACACTGGACCAAAGTTCCTGTTTAACCCCAATATGAAGAGTTTATATTAATGGTTTGACAGTAAACAGATAACACTTTGTAGAGTTATCCTGATATAGCTAAACAACACACAGAGGTGTTTTATTTTTACACTTTATTTTAGTTAAGATTAAATTATGTACAAAACTGGTTCAAGCTGGTCTTCTCTTGCAGAAGTTTGAAGTGGTGGGTGGGAGGAGCCAAATTAACATTAAAGGAAGTTGAATTAACTTTAACCATTTCAACTCTGGCAAATAACCCCAACTCCAACCCCCATTTAACTTTCAAACAGTTAAAATAACACTTTTTGTGTTTAAAACCAACCCTCCAGTTTATGTTGTGTAGCCCTGTGAAGCTCCGCAGTGACTGTAAAACTGTTCTATCACAATACAGTTTTAGTAACAAAACCAAACGTAAGTGCAGATTCATTTTGTGTTTAACAGTGTTAATTTGTTGGTGTTGGAGTTTCAATCAAAAAGCTGAAATGTTTCGGGCTGTATAGGATTCACAGAGTGACCCAGGGATTAACAGTTTGAGAATGTGTGAGAGGAGAAATCACCCAAATGACTCCCTCCCCCATCTCCTCTCTTCATCTACTCTACACCCTCTGTCACCCCAGTCACCCCACCTCCCTCCATCTCTCTCAAGCAGAGGGTGAAGTGTAGACTCTCTGTCCCTCTCTCTCCCTCACCTCTATCTCTCTGTCTCTCCCTCTCTTTCTCTCCCGCCCTTCATCCTCCCCTTCTCTGTCCCTCTCTTTCCTTCACCTCCCTATCTCTCTCTCCCACTCAATTCCACCTCCCCTTCTCTGTCCCTCTTTCTCCCTCCCCAACTTATCTCTGTCTCTCCCTCTCTCTCCCTCCCTTCCACCTTCCCTTCTCTGTCCCTCTCTCTCCCTCACCTCATAATCTCTCCTTCTCTCCTCCTTCTCTCTCTCTCCATCCCACCAAATCTCTGCTTCTCTTTCCCCCTTCCCCCCTCCTCTCTCTCTCTCCCTCCCGCCTCCACTCCCCCCCTCTGTCCTCTGTTTCACTCCCTCTCTCCTCCCTCCCTCTTTTTCTCTTTTTCTCTTTCTCTGTAGCAGGTGTGTGAGTGAGTGAGTGGAGCGTGGTCCTGTGTCTCTCAGCTGTTCTCTGTATCGCTGAATGAAGTGACAGCTGCTGTAACCAAGATCTGCACGAGGCCAAAGGACGTCACCCACACTGACCTACAGCAAACACAGCACACAGGACACTGCTGTATGTTAAAGTCCAAATCTGGTGCCTTTAATCATTCATAAAGAAGAATCCTCATAATTAGACGTTTGAATCATTTATAAAGATGTAATTCATAAGTGGGAGGGACAGTTTTGGATGCTCCTGACCTCGGGTAAAACACTTCAACAAGATTCCCACCTCGAAGACTCGAAGGGCAACTGGTATAAAAAAAAAATAAAATAAAAAAGCACAACTAGTTTATGTTGACAACTTGAACAAATAGAAAGAAAGAAGAAGCAACTGAAAAATGAAAAATAATTGAAATTCACCACACTGGTAGATCATCGTTTAGAACACACATACAATGCTTTGAAACCAGCCAGAAATGTTTTTAATTAAATGAGTTAATCTAAACATGATCAATAATACATAATTTGGGGGTTTAATTAGTCAGAAATCAGTATATATAGTTTTGCACCAGTCTGTTTATGGTTAAACTTGACATGATTGGTTTGATTCTTTTTTGATTTCATTTTTTGTTCTTATTTGACTGTATTTGGCCCCACCCACTCCTAGACCTCACTTTTGTTGTGTTGGCACTCCCGGTTTAAAAGGGAGTCAAATTCAGTTCAATGGACAATTGGAGAAAGGTTTTGCCGCTTAAATGTGACATTAAGTTGGTTCATTTGTGTAAAATGTCACATTTGCTGATTCTCTGAGTAGAGACACAGAGAATTTATTTACTGTCAAGATCAACAGCCCCATGCAAAATAAAACAACCCCAGTCATGATGGTGCCCACAGCAGCTTCAGAAGTAAAGAGAAATCCACAATTTTAGTAATAAGAACTTCAGCAATTGATACTTTGCAGTGACATCACACTGGGGGTGTTCAACGTGTATCTCTATGGTGGAATATTCAGAAGTTACCATGGTGATGCACATATTAGCAATAAATGCCAAAAAGTTTTAAGATGAACTGCAAACTGAAGACAAAATAATTAAATAACACATTTTCGGGAGCCTCTGATCAATCCGAGTGTTCATGGTTCTAACTGAAAGAGAGAGAGACTTGTTTAACTGCATCAGCTCACCTGTTATAACTCCAACTAAGTCCTTTTTTATGGTCAGATTGTGTTAAAACAAAACAGATTAAAAGTCTAACCTGAGTAACAAAGCTTCAAACAGAGTAGTGCTTTCAGTGAGCTTCTCATCCCCAGGAAATGTTGAAGACATCAGCTGCAAAGAATCAATGAAACTTAAACTTAACTTAATCTTAAAATCTGCTCATTATGGCTGCATGGTTTTAGATGTCTTTTTTTAGAGTCAGATATAAGAGGAATATGACAGAGTTGAAAGTCATGTGTGATTCACCATTTTACGTTTAAATACTATTATATAGAAAACCAGTCTCGGTTCAGACAGTGCACCACAGGAGCCTCACTCTTTGTTTTATTGAAGTTTTAGAGCTGATTCCTGCTGGAGTTTGTCTGGTTCAAACCGGGAGCCAGATCCTTGAGTCATTGTAGAAGAAGGACTGCTTTGTGCTCAGGTGGGGGTCATAGAAACCTGAAGGAAAACACAGAAATAATGAGTTTTTACTATAACCTCAAAGACCTCAACAATGACCTCAAACAAAGTTAAATGGTCTGTACCTGATTTTTACAGTTTCACAAATATAAAACCCTAAGAATTGCTTTTACAGTGTACATGTACAGAGGAGAAGACAGTTTGTGATGTCATGAGATAATACAGGAAGTGCTCCACTGTGTTTTTAAACTCCATGTCCCTTCACAAGAATCATTTGGATAATTTCAGCCCCGACATTGCCATCTCTACTGAACTAAAGGTAATAAAATTTGCTGTTAACTTGAAAACTACCACTTGATGTAGACAGACTAATAACACAAGGTTATGCAAGCAAAGTGTGAATGAAACAAAACACAACTCCAGGTGTGTTTTTGAGGAGGGAACAAGTTTATAACAGGGCTTAAAGCTCACAAGAATCCATTTTGAGTAATATAGGACCTTTAACTCCTAACCAGGATGAACACTGTAAATGGTAAGACACATGATTCAGATTTTTTTGATGAATGGCTTCCTTGAGAGAGGAGGAGACAGAATAAGCGCTCTGCCACAGTAACACAGACTCAGCACTTCTCTGTTCATTTGGTTTCAGGGCACAAATGTTAATGTGCTGTAGAGTCATTAAAGGTTTCTGAATTTCACACTTGGGCGCTTTATGGTGTTACACTGAGATACATTAAAATAACTTACGATGCACTTTTATAGCTACTGTTATAACAACAGACAGTGTGCACTATAAGCTTTTCATTATTAAATCATATATTATATATATTATTTTGATGTAGTTTCACCCAAAAACTTCACTAAGATTTAAAAAAAAGTATTTAATTTAATTTAAGGTTTGTCTTTTAGAAAGCATGCATTGTTACTATGAGTGGACTCTTATCTCCACAGACCTGACTTGTAACTTGGACTGGTGTAGGACTAGATGATATGGCCTAAAAATAAAATCTCTGTTTTCTCTCTTTTTATTTATTTATTTATTTATTTATTTTTTGCCCTTAACAATTATGATTTTAAGAAGCCGAAGCCAGAGCAGCCAGATTCAAATTGGGGAAGCTCCTTACATTTTCATACATTTTGCAAAATCTTGATTATTAAAAACACTAATTAATTTGATTCATTACTCAGACCTAGACTGGCTGTAGGCACCTGCTGTTGTCTCCATAAAGATGCTATTACTTAAAAAAACTCAAATCTATCTTAAATCTATCTCCCAAAGTTTAGCTTTAACTTTCAGGTGGTGTGCCAGCCACCAGATTTCTTTCATGATGTTGAAGTAACAGTGGAGACCAATGAAAAACTAACTGACTAATGTGTAATAGACCTGCATCCCTGTCCTGTGGGGCAGGTACCTGGCCCTGGGGCATCAACTCCTCTGATGTGAGTGCTTCTCTGGGTCTTGGAGGCGAAGGCGGCTGAGGGGACAGAGAGTTTGGAGCAGAGGTTCATAGACACATCATAGTGTCCGGGGCCGGGGGTCGGAGCAGGTTTGGGCACAGCCAGAGGAGCAGCAGAGAGCAGCACCACACTTCTGCGACTGAAACACACAAGGCAAAAAATCAGACACAGAATTTCATTTAGGTTTGTAAATATTTGAATCTCCACAGTCCACACACACACTTTGCATCACAATTTGTACATTTTTCAGAACAGGACAACTGGGAAGATTTAACGCTGTTCTACTTAGAATTACTACACTACAAAATACATATATATATGTATATATTGAGAAGTTTAGATCAGTTAAGATTTAGACCACAAGATAAGCTTTGTGATATTTGTGAGTTCACAAACTGTATCTTGCCCTGTTCTCACTATCGCCATCATGAGCAGATCACACCAGTGATTCAGAGAGCGGAGCCGGAGTGATAATGTTTAGAACTCAATTCAGAGTGTGACATATATCAGTCTGGCGTTAATTTAGACTTTAGACTTAAATGTTTTCTGACTTGCATTTTTGTAATTTGTCCCCTTTCAAGCTAAATTATAAACAAATGTGGTAACAAAAGTACCCCTTAGCTTTCTTACCTCATAAGCAGATATATAATTGTCTTTATTTTCCTGTCTCTGACAGATCATAAGTCCAACAAAATATTAGTCCTTTTAGTTCTGGCTGTATATTGTCTTCGTGCATAAAAATGCATAAAAATTCCATCAGTTTAAATCCCATGGATGGAGATCTGTTTCTTATTCAGTGCATTTGACTCACTGCAGGTGGCTCCTCCTCGTGGGGGCGGGGCTCTGGTGTGGGCTGTAAGCGCCTGGTCCTGGGACCAGATTATCCTTTGGACCTGACAGCCTCTGAGTCTTGGACCTGAATGGAGAGAGAACTGCCTTGGACACGCGCTGGAAGTCATCCTCTATGTAATAATGACCTAAACACAAGTGTCAGTCACTATTCTTAAATTCATCACAGAATATTAGAGATGATGACATTACACAAGGAGCATAGATAAGAGAAAGTCATTACATGGTGATGGCAGGTCTTTGTTGATTCTGTACGGGTCACGTTTAGTTTTAGAGATGAAGGCAGAAGAACCAGGGGGACCAAATCTTTGACTGACACCATTTTGGACCTAGGAAGAAACAATTCATCTTTCTGTATTATGTTGCTTGTTCTGCTCATTTTGCATGGGTTTACCTAACCTGAAAGGTCACAATGAGTGAGGACTAATCCTCCATAGAGCATATAGCACTTTTGTGTATACACAACTTTAAAGTCACAATATGTAACTTTTTAGCCAGAAACAGAATAAAAATAAAAAGCATGCTTCCTTACTGGCCTCAAGAATGGCCTCCACCTGCTCGGTTCCATAGAAATGTTGTTCTTTGGCTATAATCTTTCATAGTATAACAAAAAACTCCAAAGTATGGTTTTAGCTTTCTATTTCTATTTCTATATTGAGTTGAGACTGTTCTCTCAAAAAGCACATTCACTGTTGTAGCATCTGTGACTTTCATCTAAGACTTACATCGTACTGGTTTGGAGCAGGGTTACTGTTCTTGGGTGTGTTCGGTTGAACTGCCACTGGTGCTCTGAACACTCTGGACACTCCTGTGTTAAAGTCACATTTGTTTATCAAGGAGCTCTGTAGATTGTAGGCGTTTGGTCCAGGGACATGTCTCAGAGGGTGGGAGAGGACCCTGGGACCCTGAGGACAGAAACATGGTACAGTGACATAGACTGGATTTGTTCATGACGTCAGATGTGTCCAAACTGGAATAGTTTAAAAAAGAAAAGGAGGGATATGAATCTATGGTACAGACAAAGGAAACTGTACTGATGAAAGATAACAGTAATTTTGTTTAGATTGATAACAAGTAATACTACTGCAAGTATTGTGATATTGATACGATACCAATAACTTTTGTATTATAATTCACTAAAAGATATTAAAAATTAAGTAATGTATTGTAATCTGTTTCTATTTCAAAAAAGAAATTTGATTCAAAAACTTTTTTCTTTTTTTTTTAATAAATTTGTAAAAAGTATCTTAATTTTTGAATGGGAATTAATACTCTTCTACCTCAGTCATATTAATATATTGATTATATATATTGATCTACCCATCACTAAGAGAGAGTTAATATATGGTACAGAGAAGGGGCAGTGAAATGTGTATGTTTTGTATTTATCTAACCATAGATGGCACAACAAATCCAGTGGTTCCTTTGGTGGAGAAAGAGGGACAATTCACATCAATATTCGAGAAGTTGTAGTTGTAGCTTCCTGGGCCTGGGTTTTCAGTCTGAAACATACACAAGGCATATTAAATACCTTACATATTATGCATTTTTGAATGGATTCATTTTCAGTTTAAATTATTCATACCGGTCGGTGCTGTGAGGGGAATCTCTTTGTCTGGGAGCAAAATCCTTTCTTCTCTGAGTTATTAATGACCGTCATCGTTTTGTACTTGGATGGAATAGAAACCACATGTCCTGAAGTATCTATTTATTTTTCAGATTAACAAATGCATTCAAACCGTTATACGCAGTAATTTAAGTACGAACAGCTTTAACATTCGGGTTTGTTACCTCGGTACAGGTTTCCCATGGTTTAAGTGCATAAATGTCCCGTAAAAGTGGAATTTTTTCTCATAAAAATCCTTTAAACTTTTGGCCAGACATTTTACGTTGCTATGGCGACGCAAAAACAGGGCGGAAGTGATAGCGCTGACGTACGGTGCGTGATCCTACGGCGCCATCTAGCGTCAAATGTTTGAATTCTTTCGAGATTAAAAAATAAAAGTACACTTGATTAAACAGTAAATGTTTAAGACAGAAAAATTTTAACTGTGTAGAGCGTGATAAGTAAAAATAATTATCAAAAAGCCAAGTAGGAAAGTTAAAGAGCAGATCATGTTCACTAGTTAGTGCTTTGCTTTATTATCTTTTAAGTTAATAAATATGTTTTAAACATGTGATTGTTGGCCTATAAATCATTTTATAGAGTTAATCTGCCTTCCCCCATTATAATTGGAGCAGACAGTCTAATTTAAACCTCCTGTGACCTCCCTGACCCAAAATTATGGTCCTGGGTTGTGAATCACTGCTACACAGGCAGTACAGACTATCCTGGTTTAGTTCAGTCTCCTGACTTTTATTTTTATAGCACATTTTATAAATATTACTGCACAGACAAATTAAAACAATAAAAGATAATAGAAAAAAATAAATAAAAATAAATAAATAAAAGTAAATAAAAAGTAAAGAATGGCCACCTGTCCGTCTTTTGGTGGTCCACATGGATCTATAATAAAAAATGTATTATAGTTCTATGTAGGGTGTCCATATTTTTTAAATAAAAAACTGGGACACCGCCGGTTTGAGGTTGTTGGTAATAAAATTGTGAAACGAGTGCGTAATTAAAGAAAAATGTTCTGCATTCGGCCCATTTATGACTAACATGTGAGCCAGTATAGTCACGTTTTCTTAGTTTTTGGTAATTTTAAGCAGCTTTTCTGTATTTTACCTAAACAAATGACAATGTATGCCTCTCTTTACTACTGGCAGGAATAAAATTGGTCAGGGACACTTGGGACATTTCTTGCATAAAACAAGATAAATAGATAGATAAATCTGATGGGACAGGTTACAGAGGGCTCAAAACTGGGACTGTCCAGGTAAATAGGGACGTCTGGTCACCTTAGTTCTATGGTAGTCCAGTACAGTCCCTCTCCCCACTTTTTAATTGATGGCATATCTTAAATTTCTCGAGTCTGTTCTCTTTTTCTACAATTTTAGATGGTCGCCTATGGATCTATAATAGTTCTAATCTAATGATGTACGTTCTTACAGTATACAGTATCTATAGTCAGTGTTGGGGAGTAACGGATTACATGTACCAGAGTTACGTAATCAGAGTACAAATTATGAGTAACTGTATTCGGTTACAGTTACTGTTTCAGTGAGTGGTAATTGGATTACAGTTACTTTGCTGAAATAAATGGATTACACGGCGGTATTTTCCTGTTTTCACATTTCAGGGTATTCCCTTTTTCTTTTCTTTTTTACTTCAGTAATTCCACTCATTGCCGGACACTAAATCAGGTCTAAACCAGGTCTAAAACCAAGTCTAAACCCAGGTCCAAACCAGTGCTAAATCTGGTCTAAAACCAGGTCTAAACCAGGACTAAACCAGGACTAAAGTAGAACTAAAACCAGGACTAAAACCAGGTCTAAACCAGGACTAAACCAGGTCTAAAACAGGACTAAACCAGGTCTAAACCGGTACTAAACCAGTACTAAACCAGGTCTAAACCAGGACTAAACCAGGTTTAAAACAGGACTAAACCAGTACTAAACCAGGTCTAAACCAGGACTAAACCAGGTCTAAAACAGGACTAAACCAGGTCTAAACCAGGACTAAAGTAGAACTAAAACCAGGTCTAAACCAGGACTAAAACCAGGTCTAAAACAGGACTAAACCAGGTCTAAACCCGGGACTAAACCAGGTCTAAAACAGGACTAAACCAGGTCTAAACCGGGACTAAACCAGGACTAAACCAGGTCTAAAACAGGACTAAACCGGGTCTAAACCAGTTCTAAAGTAGGACTAAAACCAGGTTTAAACCAGGACTAAACCAGGTCTAAAACAAGATTTAACTGGACTAAATCATGCTGCACGGACCATGTCTCCTCCTCTTCTATCAATAATATTTTTAATATGGTTAAGAAAAACTGGGCTTTTTCATTGTCTTTTATCAGACTTATGTGAAGATATCCTGTTTTTTGCTTCTCTACAGCAAATCAAGTAATCCAAAGTATTCAGATTACGTTACTCACTTTAAGTAATTTAATGGATTACGTTACAAACTACATTTTGGGGTATGTAATCTGTAATCTGTAGGGGAATACATTTTAAAAGTAACCTTCCCAACACTGTCTATAGTACAGTGCACCCTGTCCCGGTCAAACAGTGCCACCTCCCGGGCTGTGAGCTCCAGTTCCCCGCTGTAAATCCGCTCCTCCTCCGCTGTTTTGTTCCAGAGCCCCGTCCCTCTTTCAGCCATGGCGATGCACGCTAAGGCCACTCCGCCCCAGATCCCCGACACCCGCAGGGAGCTGGCGGATCTGGTCAAGAGGAAGCAAGAACTAGCCGTAAGTTTGTAGATTTATCAACACGTACAAATGTGATCCGCTAAAGTGATCAAATATAAAATATCCGCTAACGTGCGCTGCTGAATGAAAGGCCCGCTGATGCTAACCATGCTAATAATCGGCTAACAACAATAGCATCGGCATTGTCTGTTTTAAGCGTTTCTTAACCAGTAGTTGGTATTTTATCCTAATTGTAGGCATTTTAGTATAAATTACAACCACATAGAAGTTATCTGAATACGTTACATTCATTCTAAAGATGTAATTTTTTATTTAATTTTGTGATTTTGTGGCGAGAATGCTAATTCACGTTAGCAATCCGCCCGGTAGAATGTTCTCGCGATATGTGGAATTTGCGCCTTCTTTCAACTGGGCTACCTGGATAAAAACAGCATGGATCTATTAGAAATACATATGCAGTGTTTACAAGCGCACATAAATCTGATTGTTATCTAATCCGTGGACCTTCAAGATTATTTTAATGATATATAAACTGCAGAACTTGATAATCAGAGGGATCATGATCAGAAAGAAATCAGATGTTTCGCTGTTTACATGTGATTTTAAATAGTCTTAAAACTCCAGAAAGACATGTCATGCATTTCTGAATCAATAGTACGTTTATTTAGTATCTTTGAGTGAGAAATAATATAATATAATATGTGTATCTGTGAAAAGAATATAAAATATTATCAATGTAGCTTTAACTTTTTATTAACTATTTTTATTTTAGGAGACCCTGGTGAACTTGGAGCGACAGATCTATGCGTTTGAAGGCAGTTACTTAGAAGACACTCAGATGTATGGCAACATCATCAGAGGATGGGACCGCTACCTCACCAACCAGAAGTGAGCACTCTGACTCCCAAAACTTCATCTGTAGGCTTATAATAATGAGAGAGAGACACTTTATTGATCCCGAGGGAAATTCAAGTTTTGCCACAGCAAACTGTTGCAGTTCATGTTGCTGCAACATTTCCACTGGACATCTCAGGGGTCTTTATGTCTCAACCAGAGGTCTCAGAGCAGTTTAACAGGACTGGTCAGGGAGGGTTAGAAGATCCTTTGGAAGATCCAAAAGTGTCTCCTCTGTGTGATCCTCTGTAGCATCACAGCAGTGTCCACGGGGAACCAGGTGAACACCAAACTGGTGTTTCTTCTCAAAGATCTTCTGTCACATTTGTAAGAAGCCTGTAGCATCTCAAATTCCACAGCTAGTTTCTCAGCTAGCTACTTGGCTAGACTCTTCTATGGTCTCCTTGGATAACGAGCAAAACAAACAGCTCATTTCACAAAATCCAGCAGTCCCTTACTTGTGAGCTTTGAACTGCACATAGTGCGCTTTTTAGTTGGTTAAAATCCCATGATAAGATGTTAAAAACTGAGCTCAAAAAACAAAAGGTTTCAAAAACTGACCATTGTGTGAGCCAGGTAGTCACAAGAGCAGCCATTTTTATTATTTTAATTGTAATATGTCAAAATGGTAATGTAATTGTGTTTTTTCTCTTTTAGAAACTCCAACAGTAAAACTGACAGAAGAAACAGGAAATTCAAAGAAGCTGAACGTCTTTTTAGCAAATCATCAGTCACTTCTGTTGCAGTAAGTCTGTCATTAGGTGTCGAATAGTTCATATAGTCTATCGTGTATATAATGTATAATACATGACAATTGTCTAAAATGGACCTTCTAACAAATTTCTTGTCACTAAAAGTGCTAGTTGCACTAGAAGCATCCACTTTTTTTTTTTAATTAACCATTAAAACTGTATACCCTTTCATCCTGTAATCCTGTTCAGTACAGTGAAAGGTATGTTATACTGTTATCAAATGTCTTCAGTATAGATGTGGATTGTTTCAAAATGTAAACTGAGAACTTGTTTGCTTGATTGCATAATTTGCTGCTAGTTATTGACTCTTTATTTGCTTCTTCGTGTCATGTCCATATATCTTGAATTGTTTGTTGAGAGCTCACATAAACACAATGGTGCCTTCACATGAAAAAAGAAAACCCTCACAGCTCCTAATAATAAACCTATTTTAAGCTTAAAGCTCTGTTCTCCTCCACAGGCGGTGTGCGCGCTCGGAGGGATTCCAGATCACATGAACGAGAAGCGAGAGGCGGGCAGCGGCACAGAGAGTGACACATCTCCAGACCTCCAGAACCAGGAGAATGAGCCAAGCCAAGACGACACAGAAGAAGCTGGACTCTGCTCTACAGGACCTAAAGCCCCAGAAGGCAGCATCTTCCTCCTCCTCCAGCTCCCATCACAACTCCCACAAGAAGAGGAAGAACAAGAACAGGCACAGGTACACGGCAGGGAAAACTCAGCCAGGCAGCAGGAAGGCCTTTACAAAGAGTATACAAAAAACAATGAAACTGCTGTCATGTATATAGGTACAGATACACACACTCTCCTGCATGATCAGAGTAAAGACTCTAAAATATATGTTGACTAATTAACCAAGAGCCTTGTATCGTGTAGTAACATGGTTTATAAAAGGCAAATCATGAAATATTTAGTCTGAAAGAGTATGTTTTAATTAGAGATTGACTGACATGTTTTTTTTTTCATGGCTGATGCAGACAGTTTGTTTTGAATTCAGACAAACCGATGGCCGATCCGCTCTGCTGATAATTTTGGGCCGATATGTAGAGCAGATTTTGGTAATGTTACTCAATTGTGTAATTTATACCAAAATATTTTTAGCACAAACCTGTTTTGTACAGTGTCGTCTTTGTAGTGAAGTGTTTAAATAAAGCTATATGCATATTTTTTAGGCAGTTGGTTGACCCAAACATAATATTGGTCTGAGCTGGAGATTTAAGGCCACTAGCCAATACACGGAAAAGTCCAAACATTGGTCCGAAATATATCTAGTTTTAATATTACTCCCTTTCACTGTTTATTATCATACATACAATTTCACTTTTTCATTTTTTATAATGTTACACTTTGAAATTGAGATGTACAAGTAAAGGCCCAACTCCCTAGTCTGTTTTGATGAAGAAACAAGTGTCCTTTTGTGACAGGCTGTTGTTTTAGACTTGACCTTCTGCAATCCCTCTGGAAAAACTCACCCTTCTTAAATAAACCTCGATTCTCTGAAGTAACTACACTAACATCGGTCTTAACTTTCCTCTGAGGCCCTGTAAACCAACAATAGATTTATAATATTAGCCTGAACTAACCACTCTGTTTCCCATAATCCTTTGCTCTCCACAGCCCGTCGGCCATGTTTGATTATGACTTTGAGTAAGTCTTGATCTGCTCGCCTCCCACTGTTTTCTCAGCTTTGGTTTGGACTAGTGTGTTGACTTTATTTGGCTTAACTGCATGTCCTCATTCATAACTTTTTACAAACTTATAATTAGATGTTTGTTTTGGGGGCGATACCATGTGCTTGGCCCCGGCTTTTATTTTGACCCATTTTTGTACCTAAGTTGTTGTTTTTTTGAAGCAGGATTCAGATACTTGAGTTCTACTTCAAAAAATATTTAAAATTTCACAGTTTTTGTCAAAGGTTGGGTTGTGTAGATTTGCCATTTTAATATTTTTTAATTTGAACATTTAGTGTTTCTTCTTTGGAGTTTTTCATTCAAATTAGATGCATGAATCTCCAGTAGAAGTATGTTTAAATAAATGTTATTCTTCTGTTGCAGGTTTGACATGAAGGTGAACAAGAAACCAAGAGCGGTGAGTGACCTTTTGATCTCAAATGTCTTGGTATGAAAATAGTTCTGTCACCACCAGCAGATTTTGAAGCATGCTACAAAGAAATATATTGTCCCAGCTTTCATACACTGAACAATAAGTCAAAGTAGTAATTTGGGCGACAGTAGCTCAGTTGGTAAGAGCGTTTGCTGTAAGGTTGGCGGTTAGAATCCTGCTCTTGATATAAAACAACATTGGTTGAGTGATCAGATCCACTGACCCACAGGTTGGCGGTGTGATTCCAGCTCCCACACATGAATGTTGTTTTGTCCTTGGGCAAGACACTTAACTCACCTCACAGTGTGCAGTGTGCACAGAGTACATGAATGTGTGTGTGAATGGTTCCGTGATGTGAAGCACTTTGAGTGCCTTGAAGGTGGAAAAGTGCTGGATATAAATGTGACCATTTAGCATAATTATCGTGACAGGCCCAGTAGAAAACATTCCAGCTGAAATAACATCTCCATGGAGATCAACAGATGGTGGACGCTCCACCAGGATAGTTATAGTCCTCCTATAGAAACAAAACTGGTCTGTCCATAAATTATGAATTTGTAGCATTATTTATCTTACATCATAATTCAATTAGATTTATGCTAGTACTTATTTACAGTTTCCTTGTTTGGATACGTGCTTTGTATTTTTTTAAATACAAAAATATTGCAAGTTTAAGGTGATGCCAAGCTGAGAGCTTTATTTTTTATTGTTGTTTTATCTGTTACAGGACTACTCGACCTGAGCCCTCTGGACCTCTCTCTCTTTTCTCCTCTCCTCTCTCTCCTCTGTATTCACTCTCTGCTGTCTCCTCTCTCTCTCCTCTCTCTTCTGTCTCTCCTCTCTCTGTCACTTCTCTCCAGATCGGAACGTTTTTGGACTTTTGTACGTGTGTTTTTCCTTCACATTCCGGTCTCTCTCGTGGATCAGGACATTTGTCTGTCAGTGGCAGTGCTGCATGTCCCACACAGACCTCTGCTTAGTGTTAAAGACTGTATTTATTATCGTCTATGGAGAATCACACCATTTTCACGTATTGCTTTTTGTTAAACATTGTATATTGGCCCATATTATTTTTACATGGTTTGTTTTACAAAAAAGAATAAAATACCATTGGGTGAAAAGTGGTTTGTGACTTTTTTATAATGTTGGGAGAAGGATGACAACATGTCTGCTCACTGGGACAAATAAAACATGGGATGTGGAAAATGCATCAGCCAAAACAGACTCAAATAAAGAATGTTTTTCATTCTGTTAGTTTTTATTGCACTGAAAAACATTTTTAAAAAATATGTGTTACACTGACTTGCTAGCTTTCCAATGATAAAACTCTGCTCTGGTCTCAGTGCTTGTGAACTCATCACGGTGAATAATTGGGATGCTCTGAATGCATAAGGTGAGGAAGAACTTTGGACCACTGTAAATCAGACACAATTTAAGATAGTGGTGCAGTTCCTGATTTTTACTAACTCATTTCTGGACTCTAAACCATGTTGGTCTAATACTGAAAGATTTATTTCATGGGGACCAGATTTTTTTGTGGGGGTGTTGCGCATAATTGACTTTTTGGAGCTTTCTACCATGTTATAACATAGTTCCCTCATCAAAAAACATGCCTGACAAGGTTTTAAATGTCATCCATCCATGTTTGAGTTATTTAGTGATCTCTTCCAAGACTTATTCAAACCCTCCTTACACTTAGCTTCTGTTTAAAGCTCTGCCCACAAGCCTACATCACCTGTGCTCCCATACAACAATTTCTCCACAAATATAGAAAAACATGATTCAAAGCTGTACAAAACAATCTCACAAACCTGATGACCCCTTTATTATTAGTCTGTCTACATCTCCAAAGCTCAAAATACTGTTCCACATATAGTGGTAGCTACCTTTTACCTTTAGTTCAGTAGAGATTGACAAATCCAAGGCTGAAAATGATCCAAATGATTCTAGTGAAGGCGTATGGGGTTTAACACATGACATCACAAGGTGGAGCAGAGTGTTTTCAGTTTGAGGTAAGAACTCATCTTAAATCTGCAGGGTTTGTGAGTTAAATGTGTGAATGAAACAAACTACAGGTCTGTTTGTGATGAGGAAACTACATTATAACAGATCAGAAAATCGTGTAGTATGAGCCCTTTACGGCAAGATGAATGAAGTGTCTTGCTCAAGGACACTGACAGCAAGCTGCAGTCCTAGCTGGAATCTAACCATCAGTCTCACACCTCTCTCGCCATCCATGTCCCTTTGTCCCCGCAGCAGCTGTTGTGTACATTTGTCCTGTTCTAATGCGATAGTGCGGCAGACAAACTCCAGGCCTGTGGGAGACGTGTTTGTTTAATGAAAATATTCTGTCCAATGTTAAATCTGACACAGCGGCTTTATATGGACACGCTGGAGTCCGCTGATAACACATGAGGCTAAAACAGAGACTATCAGTGTGGGGCCTGCACGCCTTTTGGGTTTCCAAGTTCCTTACTCCGTCCAGTTATGGCCATTTATTATCATTTTATTATGGGTTTGGTTCTGAGATGATTTGACCTGGTTAAAAAGGGGCTGTATCTGATTTTTTTTATGTATTTGAGCAAAATGTGTGTTGCTCCAGTACAGATATATTATATAAGCAGCTCTTGGAAGTTAAAATACATCTGCTGTGTACTTTCTGCGATTAAATATTGATACTTTGCAGCGACATCACACTGGGGGTGTTCTACATGTATGTGTTTTGGCAGAATGCTCACTGGTTACTATGGAGACATAATGCATACGTTAGTAAACAAAAGAGATACAGAACTACATTCATACCATACTACATACAAATGTACAACATCTCACCTTTATGTAACAGATAATACTCCCTACGACTGTGCGATAACTCACCCTTATAGAACAGATAATACTCCCTACAACTGTACAACTCACCCTTATGGAACAGATAATACTCCCTACAACTGTACAACAACTCACCCTTACAGAACAGATAATACTCCCTACAACTGTACAACTCACCCTTATGTAACAGATAATACTCCCTACAACTGTACAACTACTCAGCCTCATGTAACAGATAATACTCCCTACAACTGTACAATAACTCACCCTTATGTAACAGATAATACTCCCTACAACTGTACAATAACTCACCCTTATGTGACAGATAATACTCCCTATAACAGCACAACAACTCACCCTTATGTAATGGATAATACTCCCTAAAACTATACAACTCACCCTTATGGAACCGATAATACTCCCTACAACTCTAAAACAACTCACCCATTATATAACAGATAATACTCCCTACAACTGTGTAACAACTCACCCTTATGTAAGCCTCAGACAAAGCAGTGCTTACAGTTATCATCACATCCCCAAGTAATGTTGATGGCATCAGCTGCAAAGTATCAACAAAGCATTTTATTGTCAAGAATCAGGAAGTGCAGGTTAGCATGCTAGCTGCATTTTAACTCACAGCACCTTTAAGTCCTGGTTACTGGTCTTGGTTTGGACCCAGTCTCTCACCTCACAGCTAGAAGGTTCCAGGTCTGAATCCTGAGTCTTTCTGTGTGGAGTTTGCATGTTCTCCCTGTGTCTGGGTGAGTTTTCTGGACACTCTGGTTTCCTCCATCAAACCAAAACTTGCAAAACAGGTCAAATCCTCCAGATAAGATATTCCTGACCAAGACTAGCTCAAGATCTGGAGATGAGTCCCAGAAACCCTGAAGGATGGGCCAAATTCAGAGGGAAAAAATCTCTACGGGACAATAAAAAGAAAGTCCTTAACCTTATCATTATGGAAACAAGCATGTTTTTTTGTTTTTGTTTTTTTTGGTCAATAAAAATCTGTAATTAAAGTTCCTATATTACAGACTCCTGTGAGCTTTTAGCCTCATGTTCAAAAAAGTGTCAACCACATGATCCTTGTTCTTTGATATTGTTGTTGTTGTTGTTGTTGTACCTTGCTCAAATAAATAAAATGAAAAAAAAAAAAAAATGATGTTGTTACCTCCTTAAAAACAGACCTGGAGTTGTGTTTTGTTTCATTCACACATTTGAGTAACTCTTTATTATTAGTTTGTCTACATTTCCAAAGCTCAAAATGCTCTGTTCCACCTTGTGATGTCATGATGTGGTAGTTTTCGTTTAAATTAGTTTAAGTTTAGTTCAGTAGAGATTGGCAATTCCAGGGCCTAAATAATTGAAATGAGGTTCAATTGGCAATTCCAGGGCTGAAATTATCCAAATGATTGTAGTGAAGGTGTGTGGAGTTTAAAAACACAGTGGAGCACTTCCTGTATTATCACATGACATCACAAGGTGGAACAGAGTGTTTTCAGTTTGAGAGAAGAACTCAAATACGCCTAAATATGCAAGATTTGTGTGTTAAACATGTGTGAATGAAACAAAACACCACTCCAGGTCTGTTTGTGATGAGAAAACATTAGAACATAGATAAGAACATAGAACAATAGGGACAAGCAGAACCTCCACCAGAAAAGTTACACAGTGCAGCTTTAGATATTTGCCGGGAGGTCCATTGTACAGTGTATTAGAAAGCTGTTTGTTTACTCTGTCATAATTGCGCTGGTGTGAAGCCACTGTAGAAGTGACCTCTGAACTTTGACCTTTTCCTCTGGGACCAAACAATCTCAGATCCGAGGATTTATTTAAAGCAAATCGTGGGAAACACTAGAAAGGCAAACTCCATCTGTCTGTGATCGGCCCAGTCCAAAACAATTATCAGGCGGGGACACGGGGAGGACATGCAAACTCCACAAAGAGATCAGGAGTTTAACCCACAACCTCCGTACTGAGAGGAGGAGACAGGATAACAACTCTATAACAACAACAATAACATTCTACTGTATCTTGCATTGATACTTTGTAGCTGATGTCATCAACATTCTCTGGGGGTGTGATGCTAACTGTAGGCACTGCTCTGTCTGAAGCTCTCTTAGAGTTAGAGTCATTTGAGGGTTTTTTTGTTTTTTTTACACAATCTGACCAGAAAGAACAGACTGATCACAGCCTTATGAAAACGTGTTGTTTAAATCCATTTTGTATATTCTCTTGACTTTTCAGCTGTGTTTGCTAATGTGTGCCTTGTGTCAACGTGGTAACTGCTGAACATTCTGCCAATACAGATGCATGTAGGACACCCCCAGAGTGACCAGATATATTTGTGTGTGTGTGTGACCAGATTATTAAAAATTCTAAACTAGGACACACCCAGGGCAGAATGGCTGGTATAAATAAAATTGTGAATAGAAAGTATGATGATATTATCACAATGTGCATCTCACGGTACGATATTTATTGTATACCTGCTTGTCAAAGCCTGATCCCATGAGATCTCAGAAGCTAAGCAGGACCGGGCCTGGGTAGTTCTTGGATGGGAGACCACTGGGAATTCCAGGTGCCACAGGAGGGCGCCAGTGGCAAAACTGTCGTTGTGTCCTTAGGCAAGGCACTTTACCATCATTGCCTAGTATGAAAGTGGTGTGTGTGTGAGTGATGGTGGTGATCGGAGGAGCCGATGGCGCAGATTGGCAGCCTCGCTTCCGTCAGTCTGTCCCAGGGCAGCTGTGGCTACAATAGTAGTGGAGCATAGAGTGTGGACTGAATGAATAATAAACTGTAAAGAGCTTTGGGTATTTTGAAAGGCACTGTATAAATGCAATAATTAATTAATTAATTAATTGTGATATTTTGAAGATAGGACACTTTTTTGCTTTTAAAATACCTTGATAAGATTTTGGTGTGAATTATGTTCGTCATAATCCCAAGAATTCAAGTAAAAAACATATTTCTTCATGTTGTCTGCACTGAAATGAATCATGGGATATGTAGTTTCCAATGTTTATAAGCTTTTGCTACTGTTAAAGGATGCATTTAAGCAAAGGAACTTGTGATTCGATATATTGTGACAGCCCACGATATTATTGTGAGACTTCTGATGATACAATATCACAATATTTCAATTATTGTTACATCCCAAGTAGCTACTTATCCATTCATAACTTTGTGGGTCATAATCTGAGCGACCTCTGATGGTGCATTTTTTTCTTATGGTCATTTTCAAGCTAAATTTTCTGTATTTTAGCAAAACAAATGACAATATATTCTCCTCTTTACTCTAGGTGGGTGTCAAAGTCATCAAAATAGCGACATCTGGGAAATTTCTTGTATAAAACTGGGATAAATCACTGTTTTTAGATAAATCTATTAGGACAGGGGACACAGGGCTCAAAACTTGGACAGTGCCAGGTAAACAGGGACATCTGGTTACCCTTCGCCAGCGTAATGTCACTGCAAAGTATCAACAGTGCATTTTCTTGAGAAAGTTAAATGAACATCCAATTTATGTTCTGGAAACATCTTAAATAGCCATGTTTAGCTGACCCTGTACACTTACGGGTTAACGGTCAGATTTTTGAAGCCAAGTTATGTTTGTGTCCTTTGAAATGGTGGACAGATTTGCCTAAAATGGCTGTCTGTGTGCCTCGTGTCTCAGCCCGCGTCTCTTACATCATCTCTGTAAATATTTTCACTTCATAACCTCTGTTGAAACCACTCGGATGCTGTTTACACTGAAGTTTATACTAAGAGCAGGGCACAAAATGACAACGTCTGACAGCCACATTGATTTTAAAAGCTTTCCCAGATACTTCTGTGCACTAACACTAATTATTCACTAATTTTTACTGACATAACAAAATAAATATTGTCATGCTTGGCAAAATTAGTCAATCTTTGTATAGTCAGCATGACATCATTCCTGTCCATCTACATTTAAAGGGTCATATTACACTATTTTGTATTCTATGTTCCAATGTAGTTTCCTCATCACAAACAGAGCTGGAGTTGTGTTTTGTTTTATTCACACGTTTCAGTAATCCTTTATTATTATTACTATATTTATGAGGAGGTAACAACATTATAACATGACTTAAAGCTCACAAGAGTCAACTGTGGGTAATACAGGGCATTTAAATAAAATAAAAAAGTTTCATTTGACCAAATACTTGTTACAACTATAAAAAAAATTATAATTTCTTTGCACATAGTTTGGAATTAGTTTATTTGTCACTGATAAAATACACATTGAAAGTTAAGTTGGTAAATTATAGTAACAAATCACTTTGCATCTTAGCTCTTGGCATAAAAAGTTATATAAAAGTTATATTAAAGGTTTACATCATTTGAAAATATTGAAATATTTCTCTTGCAGATCTATATAAATATGCTGATGTGTTTTGCCGATAGTAGTTTATACACACGTGTCTTTGGTTTAACATGTATAACAGAACAAGGCAAAACAAAGAAGCATGGACATTAGAAGGAAGGACAACCTGACTATTTAAACTTAGAGGAACTGTGCGTCTCCTGTACTCTTACAGTTACTACAATCATAACTGAACTTGGGTTGCCAGTGCTTTACTTTTTTTACACTCTCTGTATATGGACAGACCATGGCTCATGAAAGCTCAGAACCTCCAGAATTCCCTCCCTGAGCTGCAGAGGCGGCACTAGCACTGACTCATGACTGCTGCAGGTGCTGGGGTTTAGGTTGTGACCATTCAGATCAGAGAGAGACATTTTAGGTTTAAACACACTGGATTTCAGCTTTGAAACTGGCAACACAAATGAGAGACTCACTGCTTTCTGACTGGATAACTGCTATAACATAAACAACTTGTCCATCATGTCCAATGTGTTTGTAATAAATAAATCTGCATTACAATTGTTATCAGTAAAAGTTAAACTTGATTTGAAAATATTTACCTCATTTCTGGGGACATAGTTAGGCCATGTTCATGAAATGTAAAATAAAAATCACATACAAACTTTATTTTATGTTTTAAGCTCGCTTCTGCTTGTCTCTATGAAGATGGTTTTGCTTTTGTTAAATGCTCCACATTATGGAATTAAATGTATCCATCTTTATGGAGACAGAGATAATGTCACCAGGCCAAGTTACAGGCCATGGAAACAAGCGGGTGATGTACCCAGCTCCAGAAAAGTTACATGCGGCACCTTTAAGTTAAGATGGTACAGTATATATTGGATGTTACTGAGCCTGTATATATCCTGGTGCATTAGTGCATTAAGCTGTCTGTCAATGGTGCGGTGTACTTCCTGGTGTTCCATATGGATAAGCTGGCGTTCAGTCTTCAGAGTTGCAGTCCGTACAGAGGATGAGGTCTCGGTCCGGGAAGAATCCAGATCCCACCAGAGACACAGAGCAGCGTGAGCATTTGAAACAGGGCTGGTGCCACTCCCGCTCCTGAAAGGACACGTATTTACCATCTCCAAAACCTGGAAGAGAAACAAAGGTCAAAGAATGATCACAACCCCAGAAGTCACAATTATTAAATTAATTTAATAATTAAATTAAATAATTAAATTTAAAAAGTTGTTTAGGTATTATAATTATTATATTATTATAATGCCCTTTGAGAACTAAATGTCCTTGTGTCTCCATAAAGTGTTATTCCGTGGAAAAGCGACTCTACAAACATGTTCTGAAATCTTGAAATCTCCCTGTGTGTCAGATGCCCTCCCTGAGTCTCAGGGGGTCTAATTCTGTGTAAAAGCTGCTCACCCTGTAGTTTTGTCCTCTACAACTGTTCTGAAATGCCTCTGTGTGCCAGATGCCCTCCCTGTGTCTGCATGGGGCTTTATTTTGTTTAAACCCTGCTAACGCTAGAGTTTCAGTGCATGGCAATAAACTTATTCTACGTGCCTGGAGAAAAGCAGCTGAGACTACCAAGTAACAGATCAGATCTGCAGAGAGGTGACTTCGCTCACAGAAAGAAGTCGTTTTTCAAGGTATTTTTGAACAATACCTGTTTTGAATAATGGTCCATGGGCGTGTACTGATCTATGTGCTCTTATACTTGTTCTGATACAGCTCAACATCATTCTAAATACATTCAGGAAAGGTTCTGCTCTGTCCTGTCAGTGGGACTTTTTCAATATCGATACCTGCTCAAATGAGTATATAGTTTTGATACTAGTATTATTACTGATTAGTATCAGATTTTTGATACTTTTGACAAACTTAAATGCCATAGTGTGGAACACTCCAAGCAAATTAATTTTGAAGAAGCAGGTAGCAGACCCTCCGTTAGAGAAGTTTGATAGCACACCTCTAAAGCTACCATCTGTAAGCTGTCCAGTTTAATTACAAATAATGCCAAATATTTTATAATGTGATTTTTAGTTTGAATAGTTTTGAGTTACTCTGGCTAAGAACTGTGTGTTTCATTCCTGATCTGGCCTTGGTCTCTGCTGTGGTTTCAGACTCAAGGAATCCCTGATAATGGCGGTTGAGGAAAAGTGTTTTAATTAGAGCTTTGTGGTTGTGTGGAAAGAGCAAAAATGATTTCCAGCGCACGTCACTGTTTGGCACAGGCCTGAGTCTACAGGGGACAAGGGGAATCAAGGAGTCTACAAGAACCTGAGTCTACAGGGAGCAAATGGAACCAAGGAATCTGCAGCGAGCAAAGGGAACCAAGGAATCTACAAGAACCTGAGTCTACAGGGAGCAAATGGAACCAAGGAATCTGCAGCGAGCAAAGGGAACCAAGGAATCTACAAGAACCTGAGTCTACAGGGAGCAAGCAGAATTAAGGAGTCTTAAAACACAAGATTCAGCTAAATGCTTTAATAAGTGGTTTATCCAATATAAAAGTATAAAACAGATTTGAAATAAAATTATAAGTCTTGTTGTCATTAGTTACCACAGGGTTGATAAGCCCAGAGCTTTCAAACCTTTAATACACATATATTTTTGGAAACTCTATGGGAAAAATGAATGCAAATTTTAGCTCCCTGGGGGTTGGGCGGTCATTGTGAAGCTCTATACTTGCTTTGTTGATGTCACCTGCTTGTCTCCATGGATGAAAGATCTTCCACTTAAAGCTACCACTTGTAATTAGACTGGCTGACCTACCCCTGCTGTATTCTTACATATCACCACTAGACTGTCTATATTACAGCAGTCTGATAGTGTACCAGCTTTGGCCAGACAGAAGAAGACCAGAGAGCAAAGGCTGGCTGAACAAAGATGAGAAGACTGTGGAGGGGAGAACAGGTTTCACATCTGCCATCTATGGTTGAAAAACAATCAAATAAACCTGTGGATGTTAGCTTTAAAAACGCACAGTGTCCCTTTAACCGTCGTCTTTGCAACACTTTGAAACTCAGAGGAAACGCAATAACATCTCCATAGAGACGAGCAGGTGCCACACTCTACTCCCGATGCTGTAGTGTAGCTTTAAGTAGATTCCAAAACCTACCTGTGATGGGAGTGTTGCAGGCGGCACACTTCTTGGCGTACAGGTTGCTGAAGCACTTGACGCAGTATGGTTTTTCTCCCTGTGAAGTGAAGGTCTGGCCGGACAGAGGCAGCCTGCAGCCCGTACAGAAGAAACACTCACGGTGCCAGACCTTGTCCTTGTAGGTCACCCCGCCTTTAGTCAGAGCCTGCACACATTTTCACAACAGTTCAGTTTAATGGTGCTTTTCAGATTCTAGACTGTGATTATGTCATTCTCCCAGGTGGCCGGAGCCAGATTTCCCTATTGATTACATTGTACTTTTCTAATAAATATCTTATTAAATAAATCAATAATCTGATTGCAGTGACATCACAATGGGGGTGTTCTACATGTATGTGTATGGCAGAATGTTCATCAGTTACCATGATGGCATAATTCACACATTGGCAAACACTGCTAAAAATGTTTTTAGATTTTCAAGACAAAAGAAGGGGCCAAAAAGAGCATTTCAAGATAAAATACAAAATGGATTTAAAGAGCACATTTTCAGGAGCCTGTGATCAGTCTGAGTGTCCATGGTCCTGTTTAGGAGTTTGATTTTACAAAAAAGGTGAGATTGAAAAATTGTTGGTTAATGGTAACTTGTGACTGTCATTTTATATTTGAGAGACTTGTCAGATATTCCTGGTCAGTTTTTGTTAAAATAAAGCTCAGATTAAAATCTAACTTGAGTAACAGAGCTTCTAACAGAGCAGTGCTTTCAGTTAGCATCATAGCCCCAGGTAATGTTGATGTCAGCTGCAAAGTATCAGTTTCAGTATTACACATTACATATTGCCCGGAAAGCAAATGATGACATATTATGAACAGTGTGCTCTGGCCCCGTCCCTGTGCACAGTAGATATTTAATGTACACCTTGTTGCAGAGAGAGCACTGAGGGGCCAGTCGTGTCTCGTAGCAGGGCACACAGTAATAGTTATTATTGTCGGGGATAAAAGCCTCGGCTCCGATGGACTTCCCACAGGCCTGACAGCAGAAACAGTCCTCGTGCCAAGTGGAGCCTCCGTACTCCAGCACACGAGAGCCTGGAACACAACATACAAAAGAGAGCCTGGAACACAACATATACTCAGGACAATGCATATGAAAGCCTAGAGCACAAAAGTACTCAGGATACTGCATATGAGAGCCTAGAACACAACATATACTCAGGATAATACAAACAAGAGTCTGGAACACAACATAAACTCAGGATAATACAAATGAGAGCCTAGAACACAAAAGTATTCAGGATAACACACACAGGAGCCTAGAACACAACATATACTCAAGATAATACAAACAAGAGCTTAGAACACAAAAGTACTCAAGATAATACAAACTAGAGCCTAGAACACAAAAGTATTCAGGACAGATCTACATTGTGTTACTTAAGTAGTACAGATACCAGAAAAAAAAATACTAAAAGTAAAAGTATCACATAAAACAATCTAATTAAGTAAAAGTATTAAAGTATCTGTTTAAAAGTGTAAAAAGTACAAGTACTTTGCACAAATTTTTAGATCTAATAAAGCTTAAGTCTAGTGATTTTGACACTGATTTGTGCAGAGCTTTGTGCAACAGAAAAAATTGAATCTTCTGAATAAATATTGAATAAAAACACTCTTTAGTTATACGATAGCATGTGATTTTCAACAATAAATAGTAGTACTTTCTCTTATACTTGTATGTGGTCTTATATGTGTGTAATCCCTCAGCGGTCCAGTAGGTTCCATAGTGGTACATGGGTGTATACTAGTCTCTGTGCTCTTATACTTGTTCTGATACAGCTCAGGATCATTCTAAAGACATTCAGGAATGGCTCATTTCGGGCCTGTGAATGTGACTTTTTAGTATTAAATCTGTTTTGCTACTTTCGATACTAGTTTTAGTATCGATTAGTATCTGATTTTCGATACTTTGACAACCCTATTTCTAGGCAATTATCATAGCTAGTTTATTGCACAAATATCATAAGTGGAAGTTCCAGTCAGACTTGTGGATCTGTTAATCTCGTCTCATTTTACCGCTGAGTCTCTTGAGCCCAAAAGTGGAAGGATTTTTCTAAACTGCAGCTTAAACATTCCTGAGGCAAAAACAACGTGAAACCCACTTATCATCGTCTGAGACCTGCAGCCTCTAATCCACAGACACCCAACACCAGAGAGACACGAGCAAGAGGAGCTGTTTACACACTAGTCACAACTCAACTGTTTTTTGTCCTGCTTTAGTCCTAGTTCAGTCCTGGTGTAGTCCTGGTGTAGTCCTGGTTCAGTCGTGGTTCAGTCCTGGTTCAATCCTGATGTAGTCCTGGTCAAGTCCTGGTTAAATTCTGGTCTAGATCTGGTTTAGCCCTGGTTTAGACCAAGTTTAGTTTCAATATAGTCCTCAGTCCTGGTTTAGTCCAGCATTACTCTTGGTTTAGTCCTGGTTTTTCGTCCTAGTTCAGTCCTTGTTCACTCCTGATGTAGTCCTGATGTAGTCCTGGTCTAGTCCTGGTTAAGTCCTGGTCTAGTTCTGGTTTAGTCCAAGTTTAGTTCCAGTATAGTCCTCAGTCCTGGTTTAGTCCAGGATTACTCTCGGTTTTGTCCTGGCTTAGTTCTGGTTTAGTTCTGGTTTAGTCCTGGTTTAGTCTTGGTTAAGTTCCAGTATAGTCCTGGTTTAGTCTAGCATTACTCTTGGTTTAGGTCTGGTTTAGTCCTGGTTTAGTCCAGGTTACATCCAGGTTAAGTCCTGGTTAAGTCCTGGTTTGGTCCTGGTTTAGTCCTGAGTCCTGGCTTCGTCCTGGTTTTGTTCTGGTTCCTGCATGGTTCTTTGGTCCTGGTGTAGTCTAAGGTTACTCTTTGTTTAGGCATAGTTTTTAGTTTTGGTTAGTTCCTGCTTAAGTCCAGATTTTTTCCAGCTTTAGTTTAGTTTTAATTTAGTCTTGGTTTAGTCCTAATTTGGTCCTGCAGTCTTGATTTAGTCCTTGTTAAGTCCTAGTTAAGTACCAGCCCTTAGTAATGATGTATTGCCTTTCCTTACTAGTTTTTTAATCTTTGTTTATTCCTGATGAAGTCCTGGTTTGGTCATGTTTTTCTTCCAGTTTAGATTTTAGTTTAGTTCTGGTTCAGTCTAGTTTTGTCCTGGTTTAGTCCTGTTTCACATCAGTGCTTCAGTTCTGGTGTAGTCCAGCAGTAATCTCGGTTATGGTTAAGTTACTCTTAAACTATGACACTTGGAGAACTTTCCTAAAATGTTAGCGGTCTATCTCTTGGAGTAAATGACACCACCTGGCCACATTACACGTCATATCTGTGGTGAGCCCCCTCATAGTAAAAAAAAAAGTTTGTCATGTTATTTTTGACCAATAAAAAGATATTTTGCTACAGTATATATTACCTGGCATGACGTTCTTGTCGCAGGCCACACATTTGGAGGAGAACTCGTTGGAGAAGCAGTCGCTGCAGACCAGGCTCTCACCCAGACTCGAGAAGGGCTCCTGGGCCAGAGAGCGGCCGCAGTGAGAGCAGCGGAAACAGTGCTCGTGGTAGTGCCGGTCCTCATAGAACAGCTCCTGTGAAGAGACGTATACACAGGAATAAACTAGGACGGAACCAAGACGGAACCAGGACGGAACCAGGACTGAACCAGGATGAAAACCAGGTCTTGACCAGGCCTAAACCCCAGGACTATGTGATCCAGGAGCATGCAGCAGACACAGAGCTTGTGGTGGTACTGGACTGGTCTCATAAAACAGTTTAAAACACACACGACAGGTTTACTGCCCCGTAAAGCACTTTAACACAGGACTGGCACTTAAAGCATTAAATATTAGACCATAAAAAGAATATATGTGTATGTTTCTGACCCTTTACGCAAATAGAAAAGGAAATGAGTTTTAATGTTTGGCTTTAGACATTATTATCATTAGTTGGGGGATGGATTTGAGTAAAGTACTTTAAACAAGGCTAAAGACAATAGCTGTAATAGCATAGAAACTAATAAGAATTCAAATCTGCACTGATGTCACTATGAAAGTTAAAGATATACTATGTACATTTTCTGGTGGAGGGCCTGCCACCCGCTTGTCTCAGTGGAGATGTTGTTGCATTAAACTGTTATTCTTTTAATCAAATATACATAGAAAAACATACTGTGAGTTGGGTTCCCTACTCACAGTAATAATGCATCACAACAAAAATCCGAATCCTATTATTAAATATATATCACACATCTAGTCACAATCACAATGCTCATCAGAAACAATTCTCAGATTTTTGACCAAAATTGTTCCGCCCTATTAAAATGTCTGCTTTGTTCAGCAGAGCGTGTCTCCCTGAAGGCCACACCGCTGCATAGTTTCCAGCGAGTTCCAGAGTGTTGTGTTAAATGGTCCCAGAGCCGGGGCACACACTGTGTTTTTGAGGTTAAAACTGCAGAGGAGGCAGAGGCAGGCCGTGACAAGCATCACTCACACTAAATGAATGTGAACGAGTGTGGTACCACAGGAAACCAGAGGGGGCGATAAAAATTATCTATGCAGGAACAGAGGACTATTAAACCTTACACTGGCCTCATGTCAAGACTTCTGTTTCTATTTGTCATTTATTAGCAGTTACCGCACATTCAGTTATAATTATAATGGTCAAAAGGCTGAACCCTCTGGGAGTCCCAAAAGTGATGATATTATACTTATTTTTCTTACTTTGTTACATTTTATTCTGATTATAATATGAAGATATGTTAAATTATTTGGAGTTGTTTGTATAACGTTTGAGTAATTAGAGGCGCTGTACCCGATTTCTTCACAACATTTACTATAAATGGTTTGCAATGATCCACAGTTAATCCTTTCTTTCCAAATGCAACACCGCAATTATTCACACAATTTGCTCCAGTTGTTGTCATGCCAATATCTTGCAGCAACTGTTTAGCCTCATTTAAAAGGAAGTTTGTAACTTTCTGGAGGTGGCACATCGCCTGCATGATTCCACAGAAACAGAGACTTAAAACCTTACTGCTTAGATTATTTCTTTATATATTTCCATACATAATATATATTATATATTTCATTATATAATTATAGCCAAATGAACAACATTTTCATGTAAAAAACCGAGACAAGGCCCTCCTCCAGACCAAATAACAATCAGGTTTATGGAGATGCAAGCCCGCTCACAGTAATGAAGCATGTTTTTACATGTGCAATAAAAAACAAAAGGACTTTGATTTCATTACTATTTATGTCAAATACTGTGGCTTTAGACAGCTTCACTCCGGTCCCTGTGCCCTATTATTATTTAGGTCTACTCTATGTCCAGGCCTATAAGCTCAGATCTGTGTAGAATAGTATATACGGTCAGATCTGTGTAGAATGGTGTACTATATGTGCAGGCCTATATAACAGTGCATTACCTTGGTATTGTGAGCGATGGTCTGGTTGCACTCTTGGCAGGTGTGGGCGAAAAGTCGGTCGTAGCAGGGCACACAGTGAGGGCTGCGCTCCACGTCAATGTACTTCCTCCCAAACAGAGACTCAGAGCAGCTCGAGCAGTCAAAACGCTCTGCCATTTTGGCTCAGGCAGATCCTGGAGAAAGGAGAGAGAAGAGGTCAGTGAATACGAACAACAGAGCTTTGGAGATGTAGACTAGGGCTGGGTATCATAAAGAAGTTGCCAATACGTATCGTGAGTGGTACATACTTGATACATAAGCCACGATACCTATCTCGATACAGTGTACTTTGAATTAAATATGATATATTTCAAATCGATTCAACATGGTTTAATAAAAAAATAATGGCTCTTTGTTATCACTTCTTGTGCAAAGTTCATATGAAACACAAACATTTGAATCATCAAAACAGTGAAAATGTCAAATGCGTTGCATAAACAAGTTTCCTTCCTCTAAACTGAAGCACTGTAACAAAATACTTTAGTAAAATATACCAAAAAAAACACTCTTGGCGATATATTGATACAGCAGCCCACAATATCGATGGTATCATCACATTAAATGATACAATATATCGATATTTTGATATTTTTGCACACCCCTAATGTAGACAGACTAATAATAAAGGGTTACTCAACCATGTGTGAATAAAACAAAACACAACTCTAGGTATGATTTTGAGAAGGTTTAAAGCTAAATTTTGCTAAATACAGGGCCTTTGAAGCAAGAAGATACAATAATTACCATTTTACTGAAGTGAAATTTTATATTTTCACATGATTAACAAGGCTCAAATACTTTAAACTGGAGCCAAAATGGAGATGAAACAGAAACATTGTCTTTGGTCTGAATAGATTTCATTGTTTAGGTTTGAACAGTGAGAGAGCAGAGAGCAGAGCTGTGCAGGGGTCCAGCAGGGGTCCACTGCTCACAATGGAGGGAGGGGCCGACAACAACGGACAGGGGAGAAACATTTGAGAGGAACTTTGAATTTCTGAAACTATAAATTCTAAAAATCAGATGAAATTGGTTTGCATTTTTGTATTTAGGTCTGGATCAGTAGTATTGTCATTTGTGAATAAAAGGACATGAGTCAGATACAAACGCGTGTCACAATAAAAGTTACGAGTTAAATACGTTTAGTCCTGGTTTAATCCTGGTTCATTTCTGATTTGGTTGAGTTTAGCTCTGATTTTTTCTGTGTTGCCAAGCTTAGCTCTGGTTTGGTCCAGTTTTAGAGCTGGTTTGGTTTTGACCATGTACTTTAGTCTGGGTTTAGTCCAGATTTTTGACAAAGTTGAATTCTACTTAAGTTCTGCTTCTAGGTAATTCTGCTTTGGTCCTGTTCCAGTCCCAATTTAGTCCCAGTTTTGACTCATATCTCTGTAATTACTGGGCCTATCCATGTGAAACAAAAACTGGCACAAAGTTCAATGTCTTCTCTGTCGGTATAAAAAACAAAAGTGAAATAGTCTTTTCACAATAGTGCCATTATTCAACCCCAAAGATGTGATGGTTGTCAGTAGAAACAACTTTAAACCGTAAGATTAAAAGTGCATTGTGTAAATTTTCTGGTGGAGGGTCCATCAAATGCTTTTCTCCATACAAATGTTATCGCTTTGTCTGGAATGTTCCACAGTGTACCATTCATAGTACTGTAAACCTTTCTAACTTCATAGAAACCAAACCAGAGCAAGTTACAGGTCAGATCTGTGGAGAGGTGACCCCGCTCACAGTCAGAATGTCTGTTTCTAGGTATTTTTGAGCTATAAAAAGACCTGTAATTGAATAAATGTAAGGTAGAGCTGTGGAATGTCACACTGTGGAACATTCATTCCTTAGAAACAAGCAGGTGCTGGACTCCCTGACCAAAAAGTTACATAGTGAACCTTTAATATGACAAGTTTGTGGTGCCGATCCCAAACAAATAATGAGAAGTTTCAACATTTATGGATCAGAGGTTTGGAGATTTCTTTCAAAAACAGAGAAAGACTTAAGTTCTTGTACCAGAGCTAATGGAGTCTTTAGGAACTTTACACTGCAAGTGTACCACAATTTATTTACAGATTTTTAAATACTACAGCAACTACTACTATTACTCTAACTGTTACTACTACGATATTAATACTACCACTATTACTATTATTCTAACAGTTACTTGTTCCACTACTACTACAGCTTTCCATTTTATTATGACTCACCTCCTACTAAACTTTTCCTACTACTACTACTGCTGTTACTACTACTACTACTACGACTACTATTGCTACTACTACAGCTACTACTGCTCCTGCTGCTGCTACTACTACTACTAGTACTACTACTAGCACAACTACTGCTGCTGCTGCTACTATTAATACAACTACTGCTGCTGCTACTACTATTGATACAACTACTGCTGGTGCTACTACTACTACTACTACTACTACTACTACTACTACTACTGATATAACTACTGCTGCTGCTGCTGCTACTACTACTACTACTACTACTACTACTACTGATACAACTACTGCTGCTGCTGCTGCTGTTGCTGCTGCTGCTGCTGCTGCTACTACTACTACTACTACTACTACTACTACTACTACTACTACTACTAATACTACTGCTACTACTACTGCTACTACTACTGCTACTACCACTACTAATAGTACTACTACCATGACTACAGCTACTACTACTGATATTACTACTGCTGCTACTACTACTACCACTACTATCACTGTTACTACTAGTGTTACTACTAGTACTACTACAGCTACTACTACTGATAATACTACTGCTACTACTATTGCTAATGCTACTACTAGTATTACTACTACTACCACTACTACTACTACAACTAGCTACTAATAGTACTACTACCGCTACTACAGCTACTACTACAGCTACTACTACTGCCAATACTACTGCTACTACTACTACCACTACTACCACTACTGGTACTACTAGCACTACTACTAGTACTACTACACATACTACTGATAATACTTCGCATAGAGTTATATGGGCCTTTGTCTCCATCTGAAATGATCACGTCATCCAACTCTTGAACATGAACCTGACCTCTGAACTTTGGCAAGCTCCTAATTAACGGCACAATGAGAGAAAGCATCTGCAGAGCGTATTTACAGCTGCTTGAGGAAAACTAAACAAAAACAGAAAAGTGGAGACTATAAGAGGAAGGAAAAGCATTGTTCCACCAGAAAACTGCACAGGACTGAAATAGACATCCACAGAGGAGGGGGAGATGAGAGAGACAAGAGTTATGGACCCAAACTCACACTGTCCATACTGTACACTCCTCTCTGCATAAGAAACATCAACATGAATTATTTTTAGACAGCCACAATCCTGTTTACTTTAAAGACTTAAAATAAAGCTTTATGTCTATCGTCTAAGAGGTATTAACTGCTAACATAACATATAAAGATCGCCAAGTTACATTTTATTGTCTCAAAAATGCTATATTCACCACTTGTTTTTGATGCTCCATTCGTTTTACTCCCTGCATTAAATCACTACCCCTTCAGAGCGCAATCACAACACAAATAACATGCATCCTGTGAATGAAATTATTGCACATCGCATCAGGTTTGTCAAGTTGTAGTGTATTGTTTATCTTGTTTGTGTATATTTATGGAGGATTGTGATGTGGGAGCCTGGGTGATGTAGGCTTGTGGGCGGAGCTAACTCTAAAGAGGGTTTGAATACGTCCCGGGAGAGATCGCTAAATTACTCAAACATGCATGGATGACACATGGAACAACACTGCAACATGGTAAAAAGCTCCAAAAAATTATATTTTGCATAATACAGGTGGTCAGCCCTAACCAAATATTGGCCTATTCTGGAGAGTTAAAGTGCTTGTGACAGATTTTTATGATTTATGATTCTCTGATTTTGACTTAATTTTGAGGGATTATAACTATTGTAAACATAAATACAAAATAATAAGCAATTTGTGAAGGAAATCTGTTGAAAATGACAGGAAGTAGAGTAAGAACTCTGTTTAGAAATTTGGCACAGTAAACACCAGAAACATGATTTCAGCAAAATAAAGGTGTTTTCTTATATTTGTATTTGTCAAATAATCATTTCTGAGTACATTAGAGGAGCTTTGCTAGGTAACAGTTACGGTTTTCCCTAGTGTGATGGCCCAAATTCTAACCAGGAATAACATATTAAATCTAAAAAATGACCAAATTGGGAAAACAAGTGTGAATGTTTGAGCAAAAATCCTGAATATAATGGTATATACTGGTCAGATCTCGGTTATTGTTGACATAAATATAAATGTACAAATGGTGCTGAATGTGTGTTGAATGCACTGTTGGGCAAGTTACTTCAAAACTGCACTGCGTTATTTATGACTTGTCATTTCAAAGTAATTAGTTACATTACAATATTACTGCATTTAAAATGTAAGGTATTACATTACTATTGCATTACTTTTAAGTTACTCTCACTCTAACTGTGAAGATGCTGAACTTTTGGGCCGTATATGGACTGAAACAGGACTAAACCAGGACTAAACCAAAACTGAACTACAGCTGAACCTGGACTGAACCAGGACTGAACCCGAACAGATCCAGGATTAAACCAGGTCTAAACCAGGACTGAACCAGGACTAAACTAGGTCTAAACCGAGGACTGAACCGAGGACTGAACTGAGGACTAAACCAGGACTAAACCAGAACTAAACTAGGACTGAACCAGAGCTGAACCAGGACTGAACCAGGTCGGAGCGGAGTTCTGCACCGGTCCTTTAGCTGGCAGTCACCTGGCAAGTCCATGCAGGCGCCTCTCCGGTGTTTCACCGCTGCTGATATGGTGGTGATTTTAGTGAATTTGTATGAAGAAAAACCCACCACTTACTGCATTGTAACGCGTGTTAGTGGCATTTGTACCAAGTAAAATATTACTGTTTTTTCCCCTGTAATGCCTTACATTACTGCATTACAGCAAAAAGCAATGCATTACAATAATTTGTTACTTTTATAACGCCTTCCTCCCAACACTGGTTGAATGTTTTGGTTGACCCTCTATGATGGAACAGGAAGAGGGGTTATCTGCAAACAGGAAGTATTCATGTGTGGGGATGTTCAGTTTTGCTTGTAGAGGCACAGGGTTC